TTTTTTTTTTAAGAAAAGATAAATCGTTTATTAATATGCAAGCCGGGAAACGGGCCCGGCGTCCCTTACAAAAATTCGCCGCAGCCTTGAGCGGAGCTATGTTTAATCTCTGGACCTTTGCGTGACCGCGAAGTTAGTGCACTTCGCTTTTCCCAATTTCCATTGTGAAATGGAGGGACATTGCTTTGTGAATGGTCATCTTTTTTTTCTTTTTTTTTTGAAAAAGTGATTTGTCATCTGAGAGCTTGTCTGGATTTGAACTTGGGTCTACATTTCCACAATTCATGGGTGTACCGACTGAGCCCAGCTCGTTGGTAAAAGGCCATGTGACGCCCTTCGCGAATCCCACTGCCATCTTTTTTTTTTTTTTTTTGTCGATGGCATCCTTTTTTTTTTTTTGTTAGCAATGGGTCTAACCAGCCCAGGGGCACGATTCCACTAGCAAACGAGTAAGGTATATTGTCGCACGGGGACACGTGTGGGACGTATGTGGGACATCCGCCATTGCTGCATCGAAATCCGAGGGTAGCGAAATAACGATGTTTGTATATTTAAAATTTGTGTTTTAATTTTTTTTTTCTTGTTTTTTTTTTTTTTTGTTGAATAACAGGATGTGGGGAAAAAAAATAGCAAGTCTGTTTTTGATTGGTGGTTGTCGAAAAAAAAAAAAAAAAAAAATCAAGTACTAAGTCTTTCGTATTGACCGTGCTTTCTTTTCCGGTCAATGGGAAGCCCCTCAAGTACTTCATTTCTAACAGCGAAGTAGGAAAATCTGCTCGTTTCTAGAATGCTACGGTCACTAGGCAGTCCTGTGGGTCACACTAAGGGACTCGCTCACAGCAACCGAACGGCTTCTCTCCCATGGTTGGGCAGTGCCGACATCCAAGACGGCTAAACATCCAAGAAGATTGGATGACTCGAGATCCCACTGGCAAAAAACGATTGGAATAAGTGTCTGAACCTGCTCACTTTTGTGGATACGTGCAAACAACTGTGACTGAAACTTTTCTGCATATCTGCGTGGAAAACGTCCAGATTTAGACACTTGTTCCAATGCTCTTTGCCTCTCCCATGGTTGGGCTTTGCCACCATCCAAGACGGCTAAACATCCCACAGGCAAAAACATTGGAGTAAGTGTCCGAACCTGCTCGCTTTTGCGGATAAGTGCAAACAACTGTGACTGAAATGCTTTTCTGCATATCTGCGTGGAAAGCGTCCAGATTCAGACACTGCTTTTCTGCATATCTTCGTGGAAGACGACCAGATTCAGACACTTATTCCAATGCTATTTGCCAGAGGGAAATGGCCCTAAGTCTGCACCAGTTATTGCTGGAAGGGGGCTGAATTGAATGAAACCAGGCAGAAACACGTTCAGATTCTGGCCTTTTTCCAAGGTGCACTGTAGCACTGAATCTCCGTTGTCTTCATCAGCCGTTGGCGAGGTGGGGGAGCCGGGCGAGGATAGGAAAGGTCCGAAAGGGTGAGAGGAAGGGGAGGAGCTTATCTTCCGGAAGCAGGGGCGATTACCGGTACCAAGCATCCAAGTGGATGGATGAGTCGCATGAATCTGGACTTGTTTTTGTACAGATGCATACAAAGCAATTGAATGAGCTTCGGCACAAACACTTTTTTTTTTTTTTTTTTTTTTTTTTGGGAAAGTGAGAATTTATTACAGCACAAACACTTTCGCACAAACTCTTCTACCTTATTCGGTTGTGAGTATGACTGTGCTTACGGCCCCATGCACTCGCACAATGTTCATGAATACGCTGCGAATTCGTCCCTCGGTCTGTGTGCTGAGAGAGAGAGAGAGAGAGAGAGAGAGAGATGCTATAGCAGAGAGAGAGAGAGAGAGAGAGACAGAGAGAGAGAGAGAGAGAGAGAGAGAGAGAGANAGAGAGAGAGAGAGAGAGAGAGAGAGAGAGAGAGAGAGAGAGAGAGAGATGGACGTCGATGTCGGGCTGTTGTTTGCAGTGTTAAGGGTATGAAGGAAGCTCTGCAGCCCATTGACAGCTTGTTGGAGGCCAGAAATGCAGGCACTTTAATCATGTGTGCCGCAAGTGCTCCGCCCAGTATTCCAGGCGGACTGTCTAGTGATCACTTGGATTTCCAGTGTGCCGGGGTGACGCTGCCCATCATAACAGAGATAGCGGATCTGATGCCTCGTGAGCCGCCGCGGTGGTGGATGATCCGCCGTGCGGGTGCTCTGTGGAAGGACCTCCGAGTTAAGAGATGATGCTGAAGAAGATCACTACATGGCACTTCTTCGCATGAGTAGGAGCACGTTTGAGATGCTCGTACAGATTCTGACGCCTCAGCTGCAAAGACAAGTGACCAGGTTCAAGCAGCCTCTACACCCTGCACAACTCCTGGCTTATGCAGTTCATCGATGGGCGAGCGGCGACAGCTATGGGCACAACACAAGTGCTTATGGGATGGGCAAAGCTTTGGGCCTACGCGCAGTGGAAGACGTGACACATGCTCTTGTGTCCAGCTTCCCATCTGCAATAACCTTTGGTTCACCCCAGGATCGTGTTGCGTCCATGGCATGGTATGCAGAGCATGGTTTCCCTGGCTGATGGGGGTGCATTGACTGCACCCATATATATATAGAAAAGCCTACACGTGCTTGTGGGGATGATTATTGTTCAGGGCGCACGAAGCGTTTTTCAATTGTCGCACATATTGTTTTTTATCATCTCGTACGCATTCTGGATCTGAACGTCGGACATCCGGGCACCGGGCACGATTCCATGGTGTTGAGAAGTTCTGTTCTCTACCGTCGCGCCTGGGGAGGGCAACTATTTGTAGAGCAGGACCGACCAGTCTGTCTGCAGGGTGTTGTGGATGCACTAGGAGGATATACGTTGGCGGATGCGGCTTATCCCCTCCTTTCCTGGCTCATTACCCCTTATGGTCCCAGGAATGCGAACAGGCGCACTGCAGCATTTGATGCGCGATTGAAGGTTGTACGAGTGGATAGCGAACGTGGGAATGGAGTGCTGAAGGCAAGGTTTTGCAACTTCTACAAGCAGCATCAACCAAATGTGGATACATTAGCAGAACAGTTCCTAGCAGTTTGCATTTTGCATAACATCCTAATTGATTTGGGTGAGGATGTTGGTCGTGTCCTTCGACATCGTTGTCAGAGGAGAGCGGGGAACGTGGTATTCCAGCCTGTCAGGCAACGCACAGCTCAGGCCGACAATGCAGCTGGTAAGGCTTTGCGGCATGCGCTTGAGGACCATATCTGCTCACGCCTCCAATGGTTTAGAGCTCATGCATGATATCATCGAAGCCAACAGCACCGTTTACGTGCATATCTTCGGCGACCATTCTTTCAGTTTGTGATGCCGAGGACTCGACCAGGAGAATCAAGATCTGCAGCCTGCAGGGGAGGAGGGTGACGCCATCGGAGAGAGTCATCATCAGAAGGAGGAGAACAGCCCCGCTACAAAGATCCTTTGACGGGGAGAATGCGGTATGTGCATCGCTATAGTCCCCGGACCAGGAGAATGCGGGAGATGGTTGCTGCCATGGACAGGACATGGGAGGAAAGATACCTTGTCGCCTGGGCGGAGATGGCTTCCCAGCAGGAGCAGCATTGCCGACAGCGGGCCAACAGTAGGAGAAGTGAAGTCATTCCATTCGCCTGCTGTTTTTGCCACACCGCCCGCGACTCCCCAGGTTGTGTCCCCGAGTATGCACGGACACACCATTCTCGAGCCCTGAAGTGGCCTCCGACATGGTGTTGGAGAGGTTACATGGTCTAAAGATTCGATGCCTCTGGCCCGGAGTTATTATGGAGAGAGAGAGAGTGAGCGAGAGAGAGAGAGAGAGAGAGAGAGAGAGAGAGAGAGAGAGAGAGAGAGAGAGAGAGAGAACAATATGATTGGAGTTTTAGTGAACACAAATTTGGATGAAGCAGTGATTATCATGGCATAATGAGGCTGCCATCGTGTTTAAGTTTCCTTATAATTTTTGTTTTCAGTTGCTCGTCTTGTTTTCCTTCTGTCAGTGAATATTTCGGATGTGAATGATTTTTTATTTTTTTTTTCCTTCTGTCGGTGTTCCTGCATCTGTCTTAGTTTCAACTTTTTTTCTTTTTCTTTTTTGTTGCTCTCTTGAGGGCATACTTCTGTATGCATCTGGCTGCAATTCCGTCCACAAATGCATCAGACCGCAATTTCGGCTACACCTGTATGCATCTGGCCGCAATTCCGTCCAGAAATAAGTAGGAAGTTGTAGTGTGAGTGTGCCCTGAGTGTGGAGCACACGTGTGTGTGTGTGGTAGCATGATCTTTCAGTT